CACCGGTGAGACAGTTTAATGTTAGGCTTGTTGAACCCGAGGATTACAAAACCAACATGTAGGATTTTGATAACAGGTCTGCTTTTATCACACATGCATCACTAGCTTCTTTGTGGTGATAAACCCCAGATGAAGAAAAAGTTATTTTTGCCCTCCTTGGAGGAGCAGAAGTAGACAAAATGTCTTGTTCGCACAGCTTTGAGAAAAATCAGCAGCCTCTGCATTCTTTTTAATGTCAGAAACTGAACAAAATTTGAAATCTCATTGCAAAGCCTGAACAATACGAGTCAGGTGCATGACTCCATGGGCAGTGGACAAAGGCAGGGGGCCTTGGCGCTCTGACCCTTACTTACCAAAGATGGATCCCACGACCTAACTTTGGAACAAGCGCAAGATGATGGATGGGTTTGAGTGTCCCCCCCCTGCAGGTGGTGGGCCCACAAGAAGACAAACCCACGTTGCTCATTCGGGCTGAGCCTGATCGGGCCCCATGTGTAGAGACCACCAGGCACTCGCCGACAACCCTCCCCAGTCCTGGCTCAAGGGTGAGGCCTGGGTAACTCGCGTCCGGTTAAGGGGCATCAAGTTCCTTGTTCTTCATTGTCCATATAGGTGTTTTGAATCACTCTTTGTCTGGCCTGTCACCTTGGACCAATCTCTTAGGAGACCCTACCAGGGGCAATTAAAATGACCCTCAACAGCATAGCTCCTAGGATCATTCAGGCACACAAACTCCTTCACCACGATAAGGTGGCGATACAAGGAATACGGAAAAGTAAAGCCTTGCCAGCAGGATTGATGATTGTTTTATTGTTGAGACGCTCTCTTCATTTAAAGCCAATCACTGATTATTTCACAATTCATGACAACTTCTTCAGAGTGAGCTGTTTAGAAGTCCTAAAGCTTAATGGTTGAGTGGAAACGCAAAGGAAAACTAAAAGGTTAGATCAGCTTTTCTTCAGTACAAAAACAATCATTTCAGCTGACAAGGATTTATCTGTTCCATCAACAAAAACAGGAAGTCAGAACTCTGAAAAAATGCTGCTGTTTTTGACTAGTTATTGCCTAAGGGTGTGTGTTTTATGTTAGCAAAATATCTCCAATGGACAAATTTTATAGAATCTCTCAAAGTAATTATTGGCAATGCATCTGCAACTACCCAATTATGAATGGTCGTCACAGGTAATCAACCTTAGCAAACACAGAAATGGCTCAGTGAGTTTTACAAATATTGGGCTAATATTTGGCCTGGTAGTAGCTGAGAGTCATTAATAACATGTACTTAATGCAATAGCAGATTATGGGAGATCACAATTAATGATTATGACGAGGTTTGACAAAAACACAGCTTTAACTTCTGGTGTTTCTCAGCGTAAGACGATCTTAGTTTAAAACTTCCATGAAAGGCAGTGGGCGATAAACATTCCTTCAAGAAATTTTTTAATACTTTTTTTAAAAGAAGAGGTTTGTTGTCAGTGCTGGCCAACAATCCCAGTAATATTTCCAGATTTAGTCCTAAAAATAACTAAAACGTGTACAGTTTTGGAAAAATCATTTAGAAATCTGTGGATTTTGTTTCAATATATCAATTTTCAATATTTGATGTTCCAACTGTCTCCAGAGTACAAAAAAACACCTTAAATAGAAATGACAATGTTAAAGCATTTCTGTAGACTGGCAGTTAATGTTGATTCATTTAGACTTTGAGCACTTTTGACCTTCACGTTATTTATTAATTTGCAAACATCTTAACGTGTATGGAGGCTTTAAATTTTCAGAGTGAAACAGATTATTGTTTACATCACCTTGAGCAAAACGCTTCCATTCACACTTGTAAATAGGGGAACAGCTTTTTAAAGAAAGGAAATGACAAAAAAAAAAAAAATACACAAGTATGTCACAAAAATGTTCGTGTGAAAAGGTTTTAATTTAAATCGGTGAAATATTTTCATTAATTAAATGCAAAGCAAAGTCTAGTTCAGAAGTGGCTCCTGAGAATAAATATTATTGGGGCAGAAAGTACTCAAAGGATGTACATCTACAAGGAATGCTACTTTTATTATTCTAGAAAATGTCTGTCTCCATCTCCATCTTGTACCGCTTATCTGTAGTCGGGTCAAAGAAGCAACAGGTTCAGGAGAGAAACCCAGACTTCCCTCTCCCAAGCGACACGCTCCTTCCTGGGGGACCCCATAGTGTTCCCAGACCAGAGTTGATACACAATCCCTCCAGCAAGTTCTGGGTCTGCCTCAGAATCTCCTCCAAGTGAGATGTGCCTGGAAAACCTCCAAAGCCATGGGTCCAGAAGACATCCTAATCATTTTGAACCCCCTCAACTGACTCCTTTCGATGCAGCAGCTGTTCACCGAGCTCCTCCTGGCTGACGGAGCTCCTCACTTTATCTCTAAAGTTGAGTCTGGCCACCCTATGAAGGAAGCTCATTTTGACTGCTGGTATCAAGAATCTGGTTCTTTCAGTCATGACCACAGGTGAGCGTTGGAGTGCAGACAGACCAGTAAACCCAGAGCTTTGTCTTTCGACTCAGTTCTTTCTTATCACGGTCATTGGAAGGCTCAGGACCCAGGATGCAGGGACTGAAGGTCTCAAAAATAAAGTTTTCTTTGCAAAGAATAGAAAATAATGGCACAGGCACAGAAAAGCACAAGTCTTCAGGGAGGACCGAGACAACATCCAAATGATACAAGACAGGAATGAACAGAAAGACAGAATATAAAGCAACACTAATAATGGGGACTGACTAACACCTGGGGACAACAGCAAGGATCAGAGTGGGTGGGGCAGGGAACTAACTGAGAACTGAACTGATGACAAGCACAAGTAACAAAACTCAAACAATACAGAACACAGAAATATAGAACATAATCTAAAAATGAACTCAAGGAATTAAACAAGTAAATTTACAGATCTTGACCATTGTGAAGATTCACCATTTCTTTACCGACACTGACCGAAGCAACGCCCTCGTTACTAAGGACGAGGACCTGATCCGTCGATCCTGCTCCATCCTACCATCACTCAGAAACAAGACCACCAGATGTTTGAACTTTGACTTGAGACAAAGACTCCCCGCAACATTTCTGGTCGAGAACCATGGCCTTAGTCTTAGGGGAGCTAACGTCTGTCTCCAAATTAAAAAATGAAAGTAGCATCCCTTAAAGGAGTGGAAATCACACTGTCTTGTACGCTACAGATTTAAACTTCTTGTGTGATCTGTTTGCAGTCAGAGTCTATGTTGGGATGGACTCTCTGCTACTACAGCTCCAAATTGTAGCTTAATATCTGTGTAACTGACTGAGTTATATTACATTATACATTATATTACTTTTTTGTTTAAGGTCAGTTAGCTCTGGCAGCCATCTTGAATCAGCTCATCACCATGATCATCTTCTTTCAGCTGTTCCCTCTTCAGGCGTCGCCACAGCAAGTCATCCTCCTCCATCTCACTCTGTCCTCTGTGTCCTCTGTCCTCACTCCAACTACGTCCTCTGTCCTCTTTAACTGTCCATATATCCTCCCTTTTGTCTTTCAGTGGTCCCAACCCAGGTCCTTGAGGTACACCGTCCTGCATGTTTTAATTGTATTCTTGCTCCAACACACTTGATTCAGTGATTTAATTACTTACTCATGATCTGCAGAAGCCCGTTAATCACCCATTCATTTAAATCAGACGTGTCAAAGCAGGGAAACAACTCCCTGGTGAAGGTGATGAAGTCTTTTGGATGAACGATGAAACATTTCAACAAAAAAAGAAATCGTCCAGAGGACCTTACATAACGTTGTTGGATTTTTTACCTGGATTATTGAGCATGGACGTTGATGCAGGATGGTGTTCCTCAAGGACTAGGGTTGGGAACCATTGTTTTAGGCCATCGTCATGATGAGGTCTTGAGAATTTCCCTCAAAAAGCTTAACATTTTTTAAAATGTATTGTTTGTTTTAACAAAAAATCTCCATGTAGAAATATAATTCTTAATGTCCATGTGCACATCAGATTTTTATGTATGTTTTAGAAAAATTGGGAATTTTGAAAGCAATGGCCCTCTAAAAATTTCTTGCCGGTTAAGGTTATAAAAATAAAACTTACGAATTCTAGTTTGGATTATTTTGATTTGACTTTGCAGAGCTTCATCATTCTTACCATGAATGCTAACGCTGTCTCTTTAAACTTTGTTTACATAAAGAAGCATCAGTACTTAACCTTTACAGTAAGGAAAAGGTTAATTTTCAAACAGCAGCTTGAAGCGTTCATGTTCTGAAGCCCGTGACCTTTAAGGTGCTCCAACAATGTCAGCTGCCGTGTGTCTGAGAGGAATCCTAAGCTCCAAATCAAACCAACCGACTTGTTTCTGCGACTGCAGACTGAATGAAGTGCCTTAAAAGCATCTCGTCCTCACTGAGTGTTTTGACGTCTCTAGAGCTTTGCTGCATGCAGAACAAGTCTGACTCGAGCTGAAACCAAAACCCGAACTCGTGTTTAGATTCCGAGCTTTTTGCCCATGCATCTTTATGCATGTTGGTTCAAACTAAAACCCTCTGAGTCCTAAATCTTTAAGTCTTGGGGGTTTTTTTGCATCAGTAAGAGATAATCAGACAGTGTTTTTAAAAGCACACAAGCCTGAAGAAGACAGGGTGTAATTATATAAAACATTGAAAAATGCAGCAGGTTTAATCTTCCTCCCTTGAAACGAGGAACACATTTAGACTTCATCATCTGAAACATATCTAATTATCTCTGAGGTTTTTCCACTGCATTGCATCACATATTGAAGACCTAACAAATACATTTTTCTTTATATGGTGGTTCAAGGACAATTTGGATATAACTTTTCCAGTAGAGAACAAGGTTGACAGCCCTCTAAATGGCATGCTTAATAATTAAAATAGCACCAGTCGACTAATTCAGGAGCAGAATTGAATGCATTGCGAGTATTTCTTCCTCTTGGTCTGCAGCGATTCTCATAAATGTGCTGATTTCTGAGCTTTCACTGTGGCTCTGCTCTGTGTCTTTGTCGTTATCACCTGCCAGGGATGCGTTGGGGAACGTGGAGGTGATGCAGTTGGATTTCGAGATGGAGAACTTCACCAGCCTGTCGGTGACCAGAAGGATCAACTGGAACATCGACTACAAGGGGCAGAACCCGGTGCCTGATTCAGAAAAGGTTGTGACGGAGCTGACGGTGGTGCAGCGGGACATTCAGGCCATCATCCCTCTGGCAATGGTAAGCAGGAAGATAACAAGATTCATATGGATACAATTACTGTTGAATATAAAGTATTTTCAGTAATTAAGCAAATGAGATCAATCAAGAGACAGTTGGAGATGAAAGGCACTTTTTAAAAGATAAATCACTTTATATTAATTCACGTCAATAGACACAAATTAGGAGCTGATACTATTTTTTAAAATCTTTTTTGGGACCACCTAACAATAAGACAAAAAAAAAAAAATTGTTTAAATGTTTAATTACCCAGTTATCAATTAAGCTCTAAACACTTTATAAACTTTTAAAAAGCTCAAAATGATTCTTATCCTTTTGCAAAGTGGTGAGCCTTCGTTTCTGCTCTTAATACTTAGATTACTCCGTTTTCAAGAGTAAGACAAACTCATCAGTTATATTTTTACCATCACGTTTAATAAACAAGTGGTAAAATGAGCATATCAACCAGCAAAATAATTAATTTACCAGAATAAATATATTAATTTGATGTTATTGAGTCTTCATCGATCTAGGGTGTCTCTGCTCTTTCATAACTGCTTATTAATATTTATAAAGTCTTTATACCCATTCAGTACCTTAATGAGTAGCATTTATAAATATTAGATTAGATTTAAAGTTTTATCACTGCACATGTCACAAGTACAAGGCAGTACAATGCAATTAGCGTCCAAGCAGAAGCTCAAAAGCAATAAATAAGACAAATGTAAACAGATTTTAACAATAAATGCCATCGCCAAGAGTGCTGAATCATTTCACTTAGCTTTAAGAAACTGGTTGTAGTTTTTATACATACGCTAATCTGTCTGAAAAACAGTTATTGGTTTGTATTTGAAGTAATAAGATTTAAAAAGAAAAAGTATAAAGATGTTTGTTTGGTAAAAATCACCAACAGGCTTGAATTTATGAGTCTTTTAATCCAGTTATTGTGAAGATGCAGAGGACACTTGTACCAATCACTACACAAAGATCTGATCTACAGGCTTCAGCCGTGACTTCAGCAGCTTGAGGGTTTACAAGAGAAACATTAACAGCCTTTTCCTATTCTAATATAAGAGTGTTTAACCATTGTTCAAGTCTTTGGAGATTCCAGCTGTTTCTCACTTCTCATATTTGATCTCACTGTGTCTTAACTCAACTACCTGAGGGGACGTAGATGACAGTATTATATAGATTCAGCAGAACAACTGAGCAAATTACAGCCTTCCTTACTGTGTTACCTGTAATTTCTGCCAGAGATTACAGCTGTCCAGTACACAGGCACTCTGCATTAGGTCTGCACTGAAATTAGTAAAGCACCGAGGTGTGTTTGAAATGTCCAACCAACGCTGTATTTATCTGTTGTTGTTTGGTGAGAACACACTGAAAGGGATTAGTCAGGATTTGTGCAGCCCTAAAACTTGGAAAAGAAAGAAATGACCTACTTTCATACCAAGCTTCTTCTATTCAGAGATATTTTTGTAGAAATAACATTGTATGCTATATTGATATTTATTAAAAATTGAAAAATATGTCAAAGTACAAAACCATGAGGGATCTTATGACTACGCTTTCAACATTCACATGAATAAAGTGGACTCTGTTAGATTAGTTTAACTTTATTTGGACTAATGGTGGCAAAAAGACCAATTAAAGGAATTAAAGTCTATCAACTGTTTACGTTTAAAGGCAGATGTTTTGAGGGTAAAGTGTTTGCAGCAATAACCCTTAGTTGTTTAGTAATGTTCTGCAGTGAATCTGGTTATTTTATAATTAATAAGAATAAGTCAGCTTTATTCTCATTGTGCATATAACAAAATGTAGTGTGGAAGCTACTGAGCACCAGGAGAAACAATACAAAATGCATTTTTGTTCTACCACAGACTACACAGTTGAGTCAGCGCTACACCGTCCAATCCAATGAATACATGAATTATGCACTGGTAGAGCAAATAAGTGTGTCTGGGTGTTTTTAGAGAAGTATTCATTGTAATCCTGGGTGACTATATCTACATTATTATCACAGATAGCTTAATGCAACAGTATTACAAATTAATTGGGCACAAACTGATTCGTTGTCTTAAAATTAAAAAATGTACAAAAGAAGGAAGAGGAAGTAGTGTCAGATCTTGTGGTAGGGTTCCAGCTCGAGGGTAGAAAGAGTTTCTCAGTTTTTCAAAAGATCATGGCTCTGTAGCTCTTATCCAGTGGTGTGGGAACAAACAGGTGATGAGCAGGACGTGATGAATTCTAGCTTTCACCAACAGTATGTCAGAATACACACCGTCTACGATGGAGCTTTAGGGCCACGCTAAGAAAAAATAAATAAAAGCCATAATATTATGAGAATTAAGTCGTACGAGACTTCTTTTTTTTTTTTTTTTTTTACAGCTCTCGTTTATTTTTTTTTTCCACAAGTCGGATCCACAACACGACCTGTCAATCAATCCAGTAGGTGTGTCAGCAAATGACCAATCCGAAGTAAGAGAGCTGCTGCAGCCCATCAGAGCGTACCACCTGACTGTAAACTGGTTCAAAGTCCTAATAATCTGGTGCTGATGTGCTAACAGATTAAATATCTCATTTGTAAAACCAATACCAAAGTATAATTTAACAAGATGCTCAACATTCTCCATTTTACCGCAGATTAAATGCGGTAAACCGTGTCGGAGTCCGGATAATATTACAACTCATTTACAAAGTAGCTTTGGATTGGTCATTTACTGACACGCCTAGTGGATTGATTGACAGGTCACGTTGTGGATCTGACTAATGGGAGGGGGGGGGGGGACACAAGAGCTGCAAAAAGACTCGTATGACTTTATTCTTGTAATATTAAGACTTTATTCAACTTTATTCTTGTAATTTTATGGCTTATAAAAAAATCTCAGCGTGGCAATGTAATTTTTTTTTCTTAGCGTGGCCCTAAAGCTCCGTCGTACACTGTCCGTCTGGAAGGGTAGTGCTAATCAATCAATTTTTCACAGCCCTCATTCACCAGTCTCCGTGTCTTCTGGGTCTCAGCTGTTAGTGCTGCAGTAAAAGTTCATCAGGAGTTGTTGGAGGTTGATATGTTTTAGCTTCTTATGAAAGCGTAGGCATTGCAGAGCTTTTCCCATAATGTGAGGGGTATTATAAGACCAGGCCCGCTCTTTTCTTATACAGATACTCAGAGTTCCACATTTATTTTTTTCCACCAAATCACTGCTGATGTGAAGAGGGGGTATGGTCTGCATCATTTATTCTTCTGAATTTCAAAATATCATCTTGGGTATCTTTAGAATCAGTGATCAGCTCAACAACCATGGTGTCGTCTGCAAATTAAATTATTAAATTGGGAAAGGGAAACATGAAACAGTTACTGTACGTGTGAAGACCAGTGAGCTCAGCACACAGCCTTTTTTCCTGTAAAAAATATTAATTTAATATTGAATTTGAATGAGCAGTAGAATAAAAAATTGTGCAGTACAGTAGTCCCTCATATTTCACGGTTGGACTTTCCCAGACTCACTCTTTTGTGGGGTTTCAACGTAAGATTGTACACAACATATGATATGCTGATTGATGAAAGGTGCCCAACAAGAGCATTGTGCTGAGGGGCGGAATGACCATCGGGAGCACCGGGACATTTCCCGGTGGCCTGGCCCGCTCAGTGATCACTAAGGTGCCCCCTCCTTTCTCTTTCTGAGTTTGACTGTCACAGCAGAGCATAGACACAGAACAGGCAGGCATGCAACATGTTGTGTGCCTCTGCTCTGCTGTGACAGACAGCTTCAGAAAGAGAAAGGAGGGGTGGGTGGGGTCTGTCTTTCCCCATCGCTACTGGCCATCGGGAGCACCGTGAAATGTCCTGGTGCTCCCGATTGCCAGCCCGCCCCTGGGATTGGCTCAGTAACCGTAGCATCAGTCTGTCTGCTCTCTTTCGCTGTGCTCTTTTAGAGCGTTTTGAGAGTTTATAACATATGTGTCAAACTCAAGGCCCAGGGGCCAAATGTGGCCCTCGTTGACATCTTATCTGGCCCTCAAGATGTTATTTTAAATGTAAAAGACTTTTACCACTTTAATTTTTTCATTAATCTTTGATTATGATGTCAAAAGTGCAATAGAGAACGTCAAACGAGACCAATCAAACTCTTGTTGAGGAACCTGCAACCAAGAAAAGATGTTGGGTATCTGATTTGAGTTAATGAAGATTCTGAAATTGGCCCTTAGTTTGATAAAGGTTTTAATTTTGGCCCCCTTTTGTAAGTGAGTTTGACACCCCTGGTTTAGAACATTTTTTAAAACATTGCAAGAGTGTGGGAAGGTTTTAAAAAGCCTTAAAATATATATAAATACTAAAATAAATATAATGTCCCTACTTCACAGATTTTCACTTATTATGGGGGTGTGTGGAATGTAGCCCACACGATAAGGGAGGGACTACTGTTCCTTGAAAATCATCGGTGGGTTTAGCATTTTTGGAGGACGCTGTAAACAGGTGCAATTGAGACAGAAGTGTGATCAAACACAAATGTAATCAACTTCTATGCTGATGACTTGGTGATTGTTAGGAGCCACTAAGTGCCACTTATCTTTGTGGAAGGTGGTACGTAATTATCAAAGGCAATAAACAGATTATGGAAGGAAAAGGACTTTAATCAAGCAGGAGAGACATTTGATTGTCTCCTGCTGCTGTTTTTTTCTTCTTCTATTTATCCGAAGGACCAAAACCAGAGTTTTTGACAGTAGTCAAGTATTATTGTGGATGAATGATGAATCTGAAGGCTGGATCCAGGACAAGTGGACAGAAAGGTCATAGAAACTGGTGACAGGTTTTCTTCGGGATAATTTTCTCTTGTTTATGTGGAGCAAAGATCATCACTGCTGCTTTAAGAAATAAGATATTGGGCTGGTTGCACACTGCAGCTCCTGCGACACATAAATAACACTAACAGTCTTTCTGTGTGTGCACCAAGTGTTTGTAGGATCTGATACGTGTGTCAGGATGATAACTCTCGTTGTCTTCTTTGTATTTGCATAAT